CCCCTTGTTTAAAAAAGGCAGAATAAGATTGTATTTTTGTTTATTTTATTTATTCTCAATATTTGTCTCTGGTAAACATTTTATTACTATAACTATTATTAATATGAGTATTTATTTTAAATATATATTCTATTAATTAATTTATTAGTAAATTTTTATTATTATCATAATTGGGTGACAGTGTGGCGCAGTAGGTGGGTAGTAAGTTAGAATTTCTGTGTGGAGTTTGCATGTTCTCCCTGTGTTCGTGTGGGTTTCCCCCGGGTGCTCCTTTTTCCCCCACAAGTCCAAAAACGTGGTACGGGTGAATTGGGTATGCTAAAATTGACTGTAGTGTATGGATGTTCCCCAGTGATAGGTTACAGCTGTCTCCATTTCTGCTGCTACATTCGGATGGTCGGGTCAGAATTTGGCATCAACAACATGAAAGCATGGATCCATCCTGCCTTGTATCAACAGTTCAGGCTGGTGGTGGTGGTGTAATGGTGTGGGGGATATTTTCTTGGCACACTTTGGGTCCATTAGTACCAATTGAGCATCGTGTCAAAGCCACAGCCTACCTGAGTATTGTTGCAGAGTGCAGACCATGTCCATCCCTTTATGACCACAGTGTACCCATCTTCTGATGGCTATTATTAGCAGAATAGAAATGTCATAAAGCACAAATCATCTTAGACTGGTTTCTTGAACATGAACAATGAGTTCACTGTACTCAAATGGCCTCCACAGTCACCAGCTCTCAATCCAATAGAGCACCTTTGGGATGTGGTGGAACGGGAGATTCGCATAATGCATGTGCAGCCGACAAATCTGCAGCAACTGCGTGATGCTATCATGTCATCATGGAGCAAAATCTCTGAGGAATATTTCCAGTATCTTCTTGACTCTCTGCCACGAAGGATCAAGGCAGTTCTGAAGGCAAAAGGGGGTCCAAGTTGGTACTAGTAAGGTGTACCTAATAAAGTGGCCAGTGAGTGTTATATTTATATTTATATTTAAAATATATTCACTGTAAAAATGATTGCTTAGAAATGTATTAGTTGAATTAAATGAACGTTTCCAGTCATCTCAACTCACAGCAATCAAACTGACTACAGATATTGAACCTTAAATTGTAAACCATTGCACACAACAGAAAAACTAGTTGAAACCTGATTAACTTATTAAAATAAGTTAAAGCAACAAAAATATTTGTTTTCTTGACAATTAATCAATATATTTTGACAGTATGCATATAATATATGACATAATATTATTTTAAAATATAAATAATATATTTGAGGCGAAGTCATCTCTCTTATTGCATGGAGAATGTAATTATTTGGATTATATTAATAATAGTGAGAAATATATAAAAAATTGTGTCCCTTATTTAAGCCTTATAAGACAGAATTTAGATTTTAAGCTGAAGTATTTTTCTATGTTCTATTTTTCTATATTATGATGTGTTTTGCTCTGTCGAGTGTTGTTGACGTGTGTGAGTGTTTCAGCAGGTGATGTGCATGTCCTTGAATTTCTCTTTCACACACATACACATACACATAAACACACACACACACACACACACACACACACCCAAGCATGCAATATATGCACTACAGATTGACCTCATTTGCAGCCACACATATACAGTAGTGAGATTTATGGCCTCACACACTTCATAAACTGGGCTCTTCTGACCTGCAATAATGATTCATATTTATGTATATATATATATATATAACTTTATTTTATTGAATGAGAGTTTATAAATAGAAGTGCACAATTAATCAAAATAAAACACAATGTACATTCACTGTGTTTGTAATTTGGGGTGTAAATTGTAGTGTAAATGCATAAATGTAATAAAAAACATTTACACAATGAGATATGAACTTTAATTCATAGAGACTTTTTATTTAAAATATAAATTATAACATATATATATATATATATATATATATATATATATATATATATATATATATATATATATATATATATATATATATATAACACACAGTTTATTCTGTATATATTATGTATTTTTTGTTATGTAAATAATATATCTTTTTATAATATAAATTTCTGCATGCATAAAATACCCCCACACACACACACACACACACACACACACACACACACTATTCACTTGACACATTTATCGTGTATCTCGTCTGCGGTTGCATTTATTTTTAAGTCATATATATAGGAGGCAGGATTATTGTTTCATTCTGAACATAGTGATCTTGATTGTCTGGTACGTCACTCATGCTGGGCTTTATACAGCTTCTGCACCACTCAAGAACAGCTTAAAGTCTAGTTCATATCTTAATTAATGCATTACATTCTCATCCTCAAATTGAGTTGCCATTGTCTTCTTAACGAATAAAACACCTTCTCTGAATATAAACCCTGAATTTAGACATCTAGTTTAGATGTTTATCATAATAAGAGCTGTGAGTTTCAGAAAATTAAGACTTTTACTTCAAAAAACTTTAAAACTTAAAACTTCCACTGTCTGTCTCTATAAGAACAAACACAAATTAATAAGTAGGTTAGCGAAGGTCATTTTGGTTTCAGACACCGTACCATATTGGCATGTTGACACATTGACACATGCAAGGATTTATGTCTGTTCGGTTGAGTAATGACAGCTCAATGACAGCCATATACATACCATACACATGCGCACACACTAACACACACACACACACACACACACACACACACACACACACAAATATACACACACAAATTCATACGAATGAACATGCACAAATGCACACGCATACACACACACACACATACACACACACATACACCACATGCATTTTGTGCCACACAAGTTTGTATTTTAGACCCGCTAATCTCAGGATCATATATCTTATAAAAGTGTTTGGAACGTGTGTGTGAGATTTAATCTGTCAATCCTAAAACACACATGCACACACACCTTTGCTTTCTGTTCTCTACATTACTTTTTCAATGTCATTTTGTCATTAGAGCCATTCGCGTGTGCATAACTGTGAGGTTGTTTTTGTCTGTATGGAGAGTAAATACTGTATAAATATATATGAATATATGATATATTTGAAGAAAATATTTGCAGAAAAATCTCTTTTAAACAGACAATATCATTTAGAAAAAATACTAGTCAACATGATAAAACAAACTTTAGGTATATGTGCAGTAAATATTCACAGAATGTATAAATGTGAGACAAAATCTCAATGTCATTTTGAATTGAATAGATACACTGTACATAGCAATTAGTTTGCGAATGGATTTAGTTCATTCATTCATTTTCTTGTCGACTTAGTCTCTTTTATTAATCTGGGGTCGCCACAGCAGAATGAACCACCAACTTATCCAGCACATTTTTATGCAGCAGATGCCCTTCCAGCCACACACACACTCATACACTACGGACAGTTTAGCCTACCCAATTCACCTGTACTGCATGTCTTTGGACTGTGGGGGAAACCAGAGCACCCAGAGGAAACCCACGCGAACACAGGGAGAACATGCAAACTCCACACAGAAACACCAACTGAGCCGAGGATCGAACCAGCCACCCAGCGACCTTCTTGTAGTGAGGCGACAGCACTACCTACTTTGCCACTGCGTTGCCCTTGGATTTAGTTCCTTAAGAAAAGTGCATAAATCCATTGCTTTAAAAGAGATAAGTTGACATTACTTAAAAAAGGGAGTCAACCCGTTGCATAAAGTTATTAAACAAATGAACAATGTGCATAAGAATTAAGTTAAGTCAACAGATTTACTCAGTTTTTACACACTTGTTGCTTTTAAGGCAGTGAGATTATTTACTTTTTTTTAAATAAAGTAACTACACTTTTTACAATAACATAAACATAAGTACAAAAATTGTTAAAAATAAAATAAATAATTAATGAAATAATGTGCAAAGTAAAAATATGAAAATAATGCTAATATAAATAATATAAATAATTAAAAAAAACAATAATAGTTATAATAATTTTAGGATTCGATTTAGTAATATTCATTAATTTTGACTTTGTAAGAATTTAGTCCCTTTAATAAAAGTAATAGTCCCTTTTTATTTCTTTACTGATATTGGCAAAGATATTGTTTTATTAAATAAATTATATACAGCTGAAGACAGAATTATTATCCCCCTGTTTTATTTTTTTCCCAATTTCTTTTTAACGGAAAGAACATTTTCTCAACAAATTTCTAAACATTATAGTTTTAATAACTCATTTCTAATAACTGATTTATTTTATCTTTGTCATGATGACAGTAAATAATATTTTACTAGATATTGTTCAAGACACTCCTATACAGCTTAAAGTGACATTTAAAGGCTTAAATAATTAAGTTAACTAGGCATGTAAGGGTAATTAGGCTATTTTATAACGATGGTTTGTTCTGTAGACTATCAAAAAAAATATAGCTTAAAGGGGCTAATAATTTTGACCTTAAATGGTTTTTAAAAAATTAAAAACTGCTTTAATTCTAGCCAAAATAAAACAAATCAGACTTTCTCCAGAAGAAAAGATATTATCCAACATACTGTGAAAATTTCCTTTCTCTGTTAAACATCATTTGGGAAATATAAAAAAAATAAATAAATACTTCAAAGGGGGGCTAATGTCTACAGTTTTACTACTTTTCATATCAGTTTTCGTTACTTTTTTAGTTACAAGATCGCATCTGTTAGATAAATGTAATTAAAATAAATTACAAACAAACAACAGCAGCTGAAAAAAGTAAATAAATAAATAAAAGTACATCAGGGATCATTTTATTTTAGGTAATGTTTATTACCTGAAATAAAAATGGTTGTCGTTTTTGAGCTGTGGTGTCAGTGTGTGTGGTTTGACCCAGTTTGTGACAGGCTGCAGTGAAGTGTGTGTGTGTGTGTGTCATGATGTGATGTCTTTATTTGGACAAAGCTTGTCATTGGAAACGCCCTCCTTATGTTTTCTAATGGCCTTGTGCCCATCCATACGCACTGTATGTCCTCTATAAAAGAGCCCCAGCATGCCACACATGAAACCATCCACATCCAGACACAAAATCTCCATCACAATGCCTTCAAACACAACCATCCTGAAGCCTCAAACCAAGAAAACAGGTAAAACATTACATTATCAGACTTAACATCTAACTTAAAACACCTCCTGCATGGGCTTTCATACTATTTTTTTGTAATATTTTTGTTTTTGTGTTCCTGCTAATCATACAAAAAAAATCTAATAAACTAAATAAACATTTTGTATTAGAGTATATACTATATCATTAAATTCATACGTGATAAGACAATCCAAAACCATTAAAAGTACTTCAAAATAACTAAATAGGTTATTGTTAATAACGTATTATTAAATATGGAATCACTATTTAAAATATGGAGCACTATTTGGGGTGAAGCAGTGGCACAGTAAGTAGTGCTGTTGCCTCACAGCAAGAAGATCGCTTAGTCGCTGGCTCAAACCTTGGCTCAGGTGGTGTTTCTATGTGGAGTTTGCATGTTCTCCCTGTGTTCATGTGGGTTTCCTCTGGGTGCTCCGGTTTCCCCCACAGTCCAAAGACATGCGGTACAGGTAAATTGGGTAGGCTAAATTGCACGTAGTGTATGAGTGTGTGCATGTGGATTGCTGCATAAAAATGTGCAGGATAAGTTGGTGGTTCATTCTGCTGTGGCGACCCTGGATTAATAAAGCCGACAAGAAAATGATTGAATAAATGAGCACAATTTTTTTTTTTTTGCCCCAACTATTGAGATTTTTAACATTGAACATATAAACACAGTGGGTCTTAAAAATGAGAACACTACTGAAAAGTTAAATAATTAAATGAAAATGCTTTTTGATTTGATAAACAAAAAATAACAAATATTTTTATTTTAACTACGAACAACATTTTAAAACTTTAGTTTAATGTGAATTAGTAAAATAAATAGGGCTGCACGGTATTGGAAAAATCTGATATTGCAATTTTTTATGTGATAAATATTGCAATAGGGGTGACACAGTGGCTTTGTGGCGGGAAGGTTGCTGACTCAAGTCCCGGCTGAGCCAGTTGGCATTTCTGTGTAGAGTTTGCATGTTCTCCCCGTGTTGGCGTGGGTTTCCTCTGCATGGGTGCTCCGGTTTCCCCCACAGTCCAAACACATGCACTATGCCGAATTATCTAAACTAAATTGGCTGTAGTGTATGAGTGTGTATGGATGTTTCCCAGTACTGAGTTGCAGCTGTAAATATAACAGCCATCTTCGTTTTTGAAGAACTCCCCCTTCCTACCCTACTCCTCCTCCTTCTTAGATGAGTGACACGCTGGCCCAGTGGTTAGCACTGTCGCCTCACAGCAAAAATGTCACTGGTTCTACTGGTTCTAGTTCTTACCAAGCCAGCCGACGTTTCTGTGTGCGAGTTTACACGTTTATCCCATGCTCACGTGGATTTCCCTCGGGCCGCCCGTTTTCCTCCCACCATCCAAAAACACACAAGTTAAGTCAATTGCCTAATCCAAATCGCCATCATATATGCGCTAGTAGTTATCTCTTTAGAGCAATCATTAATGAGTTCTCGAGATCTACCTGAGCTGAAACTCCTCTCTCGCCTTGCAATGGGAGGGAGCCACAGGCTCGAGGATCTCATGAGCTTAGGACTCTCTCCCAGGACACATGCCCAGGACACAAGCTTCATAATCAATCATCAGCTAAGTGTAAACTCTTGAAAGTTTATTTATATTTAGTTTATCTCTCTATAATAGACTATGTATTTATTTTCAAAAGTGCAAATTAATAAAAACAACAACAAAAATGAAATTACTACAATTAGCTAAACTGAAAGTGAAATTAGAATAGTTAAAAAAAATTGAAACATCGAAAACTACCCAATATATAACAAACTATATTTAGATTTGTAAATAATTAGCCTACAAATTAAATCTTTCATTTTTTTTATCCCATTTAACTCAATGTAATTGTTACTGTGTAATTTCTTATATCTTATTGCATTTAGTGCATTATAATATAGTGTATTTGTGTACACGTGTGTGTAGTATTTCAGTGATACTAAAATAACAGGTGTCTTAACTGGTTTAACTGCAATAAATCTACAGCATATTAATAATAGTTTCGTAGCTGTGTATGAAGACATTATATCGCACTCACTATCAAAGCAATGAATGCCTTTTAATTATAGCAGAATCATCAGGACTTTGAATGCAGCAGGGAGTACAAATATAAACTGGCGGTGAATAAGCATGGTGTGAATTCTCCACAGCTTTTGGGACAGGGTCAGTGTCTGAGACATTATCAGCAGTCTGGACATGTGTTATAAATCAATTCATACTCGGCTGTTGGGTCAGTTGGTTACACACACACACACACACACACACACACACACACACACGCACACATATGATGAGTCAATGCCAGTCCTTTAGCCACATTTAACTTTATCCACATGTAACTGTGCTTTACCTCAACATTTAAATTAGGAAAGAGCTAAATGTGCATTCATATCATGTGTAAAAAAATCTACTTTTGAAATTGTTATACATTTTTAATATTTTGTTGTATGTGATTTTACTGGTATTGTAAGTGTAATAATGTGTTTTTGATTCAGAAAATCTGTCAGGGGCAACAGATGACAATTAGCCATTGTGACTAACTCAAATAACTTTTTTTTACTGTTGATTAATGAGAATTGTCCCTGTTAAATATATAAACAAACAAACAAATAAATAAACAAACAAATAAATAAATATCCAAAACACATCTGTGATTATTCTTTCATATTTTAAGGATGTTTTTGTGCTATATGACTGTTTTCTGCACTGCTAATGTGCACTGAAAAAAGTGTTGCATGCAGAACTGTTGCAAACAATTTATTTGAGTTGAATTTAAACAAACAAATTACGTTTAATAATGTTCAACTTAATTTGTTTGTTTAAATTCAGCCCAAATAAATTGTTTACAACCACTTAACGAAAAAAAAACTGAGTAAATCCAAGGAATCATCCTTGAATATTTTTTTTAAGTTACCATGAGCTAACACATGATTCACCAATCAGATAATTCTTACCTTAATATCTTCATCTTGAAGAATCCCCCCTCCTACTCCTCCTTTTTAGATTGGGCGACAGGGTGGCTCGATGATTAGCACTGTTTCCTCAAAGCAAGAATGTCACTGGTAAAAGTCCTTACTGAACCAGTCGACATTTCTGTGCAGAGTTTGCTTGTCCTCCCCGTGCTTGCGTGGGTTTTCCTTGGGTTCACCAAATGTGTCCAAAAACACATGACCTAAGTAAATTGAACATACTAAATTAGCATTATAGCTGAGCTCTTAGTAAGCTGTATATCTCTCTTTAGTACCAATATCTGTCATCAGCCAGAAATAAGTCAGGGGAGTTCATCAAGATCTACCCATGCTCAAACTCCCCTCTCACCCTGCTTAGGGGAGGGAGCCCAGGGCTTGAGGATGTTATAAGCTCGGGGCTCTCTCCCTGGACAGCATGCCAAACAAGCTTTATAATCAATCATCAGCTAAGAGCGAACTCTTTTTTTTTAAATATTCGGTTGTTTCTATTTAAATATGTGTACAATTTGGACAAACTCAACCAGTGGGTTACCGTAAATATGTCAAATTTTAAACAATCTTCAAATGGTTGTGTTTGTCCATATTTGACCCAAATTTAGGATATACGCTTTACTGACCATCTTTCTTTTTTTTCAGGAAGGAAAATCAAAGCTGGAAACTCTCCTGTTGGTATGGACAAAACTTAGAATCACATGCCTAATCATAAAGATTCATATATGATTATAGACTCTGACTCTGATATATTTCTTTACAATATATCAGTGTAGAGTCAGAATCTACAATCATATCATCAGAAATGATTTCTTACTCCATCCTCAGAGAAACTTCCAGTTTATGAGCCGAACATTCCAGAGCCGTCGACCAGAGAGGAGCTGCTCAAATGTGAGTCATGAACATAAAACACAGTTCACACACTGGCTAAAGCGGTACTGAACAGTTTATTTCATGATAGACTGGATCAATGTTTCTCTGGATGAACGAACTGCCAATAAGATGCTGTGGCTGACAGAGGGCGGAGCTAAAGTGTCCCGCATGACAGATGAGGTGTGCCCTTACCTGGACAGACCAGAGAGATTCGACCACAGCCCGCAGGTGAAACACACACCCGTGCATATTCACGCACATATGGATGTTCATCCACACTTTTTTACACACACTCATGCACACATGCACATTCACACACTCATTGTTATACAGACCCACTCATGCACATGCACACATACAAGCTCATTCATGCACAAGCCATCGCATACTCATGCACACAAACACGCATGCACACTCATGGGCATACATACATGCACAAACACACATGCATATACAGCTGTTTGTGCACACACACACACAGGAATGCATGCACATGTAGGGACCAAATGTCCCACGAGTACAGTAAAGCCAGTAATTTCTGACCTTGTTGTGACACTAGGTGGCATAAAAATGTCTCATAAATCAAACACAAATAAGTGCTTTCGAAAATGAGTTTTTCTATGAGAAAAAAAAAACTTGTAAATAACAGGGTGAGAATGTGGTAAAATCTGAAAACATAGTAAAAATCAGGTGAGGGCTTTTCTTTTTCTGGATTGCTTTTCAAAACTGTCGGTTTGGTTTAGGGAAGTGGGTGATTGGGTCAATCTGTGCTTTTTAAAACACTACTGGTTGGGTTTAGGGAAGGTTATGGGGAGGTTATGGGTTGGTTGGTTGAAAAAGCGTACACAGCGGCCTCTGGTGGATTTATGTGAGAACAGCAGGTGCGAATGGCACTCGCCAAGAAATTTGAGATTAGAAAAAGCATAGACAGCGGCCTCTGGTGGATTTATGTGAGAACAGCAGGCATGAATGGCACTCGCGGGAGTAATTTGAGATCTGGAAAAGCGTACACAGCGGCCTCTGGTGGATTTACGTGAGAACAGCAGGCGCGAATGGCACTCGCCAAGAAATTTGAGATTAGAAAAAGCATAGACAGCGGCCTCTGGTGGATTTACATGAGAACAGCAGGCATGTATGGCACTCGCGAGAGAAATTTGAGATCTGGAAAAGCATACACAGCAGCCTCTGGTGGATTTACGTGAGAACAGCAGGCGCGAATGGCAATTGCAAGAGAAATTTGAGATCTGAAAAAGCAAAAACAGCGGCCTCTGGTGGATCCATGCGAGAATAGCAGGCATGTATGGCACTCGCGAGAAAAATTTCAGGTATGGAAAAGCATACACAGCAGCCTCTGGTGGATTTACGTGAGAATAGCAGGCGCGTATGGCAATCGCGAGAGAAATTTGAGATCTGAAAAAGCGTACACAGCGGCCTCTGGTGGATTTATGTGAGAACAGCAGGCATGAATGGCACTCGCGGGAGTAATTTGAGATCTGGAAAAGCGTACACAGCGGCCTCTGGTGGATTTATGTGAGAACAGCAGGCATGAATGGCACTCGCGGGAGTAATTTGAGATCTGGAAAAGCGTACACAGCGGCCTCTGGTGGATTTATGTGAGAACAGCAGGCATGAATGGCACTCGCGGGAGTAATTTGAGATCTGGAAAAGCGTACACAGCGGCCTCTGGTGGATTTACGTGAGAACAGCAGGTGCGAATGGCACTCGCCAAGAAATTTGAAATTAGAAAAAGCATAGACAGCGGCCTCTGGTGGATTTACGTGAGAACAGCAGGCGCGAATGGCAATTGCAAGAGAAATTTGAGATCTGAAAAAGCAAAAACAGCGGCCTCTGGTGGATCCATGCGAGAATAGCAGGCATGTATGGCACTCGCGAGAAAAATTTCAGATATGGAAAAGCATACACAGCAGCCTCTGGTGGATTTACGTGAGAATAGCAGGCACGTATGGCAATCGCGAGAGAAATTTGAGATCTGAAAAAGCGTACACAGCGGCCTCTGGTGGATTTATGTGAGAACAGCAGGCATGAATGGCACTCGCGAGAGAAATTTGAGATTAGAAAAAGCGTACACAGCGGCCTCTGGTGGATTCACATGAGAACAGCAGGCATGAATGGCACTCGCGAGAGAAATTTGAGATTAGAAAAAGCATAGACAGCGGCCTCTGGTGGATTTATGTGAGAACAGCAGGCACGAATGGCACTCGCGAGAGAAATTTGAGATCTGAAAAAGTGTACACAGCGGACTATGGTGGATTTACATGAGAACAGCAGGCATGAATAGACCAAAAATGTACCTTCTGGGGTGTATTTAGCGCTCTCCAGAAATGTAAATAAGGGCTCCTAATTAAAATGAGCCTGGGTTGCATAAAACATAAAAACCCAGCATGAGAGTGTGTGTTGTGAGTATGGTTGTGTGTATATTTATGATATTTGATTAAAGATTACAAGGGCCCAGATACAGCGTTATAACAAGCACTATTATACATGTAAAAAGAAGAGTAAATATTAATTTAATTGTTTCTTTAAGTATTTTTAAGTGTAGTAAGCATCCAATCAGGGAAGGGAAAAAGACATAATACACACAGTCTGTACAGTTGAAACATCATTATGACTTTTCACTGTCCACACAAGGAGAATAAACTCATTGTGTGTGTGTGTGTGTGTGTGTGTGTGTGTGTGTGTGTGTGTGTGTGTGTGTGTGTGTGTGTGTGTGTGTGTGTGTGTGTGTGTGTGTGTGTAGGTGCTGTGTAAGGAGTCGGTGTGGGCCTCACGTTGTTATTGGGAGGTGCAGTACTCCGGTTGGGCTGTGATCGGGGCGGTGTATGAATCCGCTGGCAGGAGGACAGGAGACGGTGCCTGTGGCCTCGGGGAGAGCGAGGAATCCTGGGGATTGGGTTGGGCAGGATCCTGCTATGACGCCTGGCACAAAGGAACCAGCAGCAAGGTGTCGAACGTGCCTCAGTGCCACACCATCGGCCTGTATGTGGATCAGCCTGCAGGCCTGCTCTGCTTCTACAGCATCCAGATGCAGGAAGACACCAAGAAAAGAGAAGTGAAGCTATTACACAGATTTAAAAACCCCATCAAGGAGAAGCTCCTGCCCGGTTTCTGGATGGGAAGACAGTCCTCCTGCTTAATACTGAAGAAAGAGGAATGAGGAAATCACATGCTTGAAAATGTACATAATAAATAAAACTCTAGATATAAAGTTGAAGTCAGAATTCAGAATTCAGAAGTCAGAATCGCCCTCCTGTCCACTTGCTTTTCTTTATCAAATATTTCCCAAATGATGTTTAACAGAGCAAGAAATTTTCACATATTTCCTATAATATTTTTTCCTCTGGAGAAAGTTTTATTTGTTTTATTTCAGCTTGAATAAAAGCAGTTTTAAAATTTTTTAAAACGTTTTAAAGTCCTAATTATCAGCCCCCTGCAGCAATATCTGTTTTGGATAGTCTACAGAACAAACCACTGTTATACAATGACTTGCCTAGTTACCCTTACCTGCCTAATTAACCTTTAAGCCTTTAAATGTCACTTTAAGCTTTATAAGGTGTCTTGAAAAATATCTAATCTAATATTATTTACTGTCATCATGGCAAAGATAAAATAAATCAGTTATTAGAAATGAGTTATTAAAACTATTATGATAAGAAATGTGCTGAGAAAATCTGCTCTCCGTTAAACAGAAATTAGGGAAATAATATAGATGCCTAATAATTCTGACTTCATCTTTCTGTGACATGGTTTTACAGTGCAGATAGTTGCTGAGAGTAATACAGTATATTTTATTAATCTTCGCTTTTTGTTTATGTATTAAACCTTATTTTTTTTTACAGTTGTGTTCACTTTTGTGTTGTCTCTACTAAATGCTCAGCGTAAACTAGTGAGCAATGTAACATGTTTTTAACATTTCATATTGGCAGAATTAGTGCTTGATTAACCTCATTTTCTAATCACTGAAAATGCAAATACAGTTGAAGTCAGAATTATTAGCCCCCTTCGATTTTTTTTCTTCTTTTTTAAATATTTTCCAAATGGTGTTTAACAGAGCAAGGACATTTTTACAGTATGTCTGATAATATTTTTTCTTCTGGAGAAAGTCTGATTTGTTTTATTTCAGCTAGGATAAAAGCAGTTTTTAATTTTTTATGAACCATTTTAGGGACAAAATTATTAGCCTCTTTAAGCTATATTTTTTCTCGATAGTCTACAAAACAAACCACTGTTATACAATAACTTGCCCCTAACCTACCTAGTTAACTTAATTAACCTAGTTAAGCCTTTAAATGTCACTTTAAGCTGTATAGAAGTGTCTTAAAAATATCATTTAAAATATTATTTACTGTCATCATGGCAAAGATAAAATAAATCAGTTGTTAGAAATGAGTTATTAAAACTATTATGTTTAGAAATGTGTTGAAAAAATCTTCTCTCCCTTAAACAGAAATTGGGGAAAAAATAAACAAGCGGTCTAATAATTTAACGGGGCTAATAATTCTGACTTCAACTGTATAGGATTCAGTACAAAGTATTTCCATCCTTTTTCAGTGAATCAAAATAAGCATCATTACGTATCAGCAATAAACTCAATCAACAACAAAAATATTAAAATGATATCTATAACAATTGTATGCCATTCATTCATTTCCTTTTCGGCTTAGTCCCTTAATAAATCCAGGGAAGCCACAGCGGAATGAACCGCCAACTTATCCAGCACGTTTTACACAGCGGATGCCCTTCCAGCTGCAACCCATCTCTGGGAAACATCCACACACAGTCATTCACTCCGGACAATTTAGCCTACCCAATTCACCTGTACATGTCTTTGGACTGTGGGGGAAACCCACGCGAACGCATGGAGAACATGCAAACTCCACACAGAAACGCCAACTGACCCAGCTGAGGCTTGAACCAGCGACCTTCTTGCTGTGAGGTGACAGCACTACCTACTGCACCACAATTGTATGTCATTTTTGTTATTTTATTAGCTAATATTTTTAATTTAATGAGAAAAATTGTAATTACAGACAAACCCCTCACAATATTAAAATATTTATTCTATTTTAGCCCATTATATTGACACTAACTACTACTATTACGACTACTAGTCATTCATTATCCTTCAGTTTAGTCTATGGTTTATAAGGGGTCGCCACAGAGAAATGAACTGTTAATTATTCCAGCATATAGTGGAGAAGAGCTGCATTGAGCAGGAAATGAAGTCAAATGAAGCTCTTGGGGTTTGATCTGCTCACTGGTGAAGGAGTCGGAGTTCTACCTTCCAATCCATCAACATTTATTCAACATATATCCTTTCTATTTAATATCCTGTTTCTCATCTCTTTGAATATATATTTTATTGATTATCTGAATGAGTATTTAACTTGAATTGATCTGCTCATGACAGATCAGCGATGAGGAATACATTCAGCATCAGTTTCAGATGAAGGAGCTGCCTAAGAAGAGCTCAAACGACTTTAAAATGGAGTTCAGTGTTCAACAACAGACTAATATACTCCGTCATTATTGATTATTATTGATTATTATTACAGTCTATTAGAGCTGAACAGAGTCAGAACTCAGTGTGTTGATCTGTGTGTAGTTTGTGTGTTTGTCCTCTGTGTGTCAGTAGTGTTCAGTGTTTGAGCTGCTCCAGGATCAGTTCAGTCTCGGTGACTCTGACTGACTGACGGAGGTTTTTGTACCACTCTTTATCACTGTGTGAACACACCACCACTGTGGTAACTCTGACAGTAATAATGTCCAGCATCTTCAGTCTGGACTCCACTGATGCTCAGAGTGAAATCACTGTTAGATCCTCTGCCACTGAATCTAGATGCAGTTCCTGACTGGAGGACATCTGTATAATAAATCAGGAGTTTAGGAGCTTCTCCAGGTTTCTGTAAGTACCAGCTAACAGCAGGATCTCCACTATAACAGCAGGCTGGATTACTGCTGGTCCTGCAGTGGACAGTGAGAGATCGTCCAGGTTCAGAGAGCAGCACTGAGGGAGTTTGAGTCACTGTCACCTGACCAATACATTCTGCCAGAGGAGAAACATTAGAAATCATTTGTATAATCATATATAAGATCACAACACAGAAACACAAGTCAATAACACACATAATCTTGAGGGACACACACCTCCACATAATGCTGCCAGTGTCCAGATCAATATGCTGCTGAAGGTCATTGTTGTTCTTGTAGGTTCAGTTGTAGTGAAAACAGTTGTTGATCAAGTTTTCTGTTTGTCAGAGTTATAAACACATGCAGAGCACTGAAGCGTGTGGCGCTCATGTAAAACTCCACATGCAAACACTGATGGAGTGAAGCTGATCTAATATTTTACTCAGCAGAAAAACCTGGAAACCTCCCTCACAGATGTGCATGACGGTGTATTCACAATATTAGTGTGTGCTTTAATGTAAAATGGTGTTCAAAAGCACCACAGAAGTTGTAAGAACTAAACAGAACTATAATGTTAAACTATTATGTTACAGGAGTTTGGATGGTGCATTATGGGGATTTTACACCAATGTTACAATCCATACTATCTTATGAAGACTCTTTAGGATAAACTAGGAACTGAATAAAGGATATCACTGTGTGTTTGCGGTCTTCATTGTGATCATTAGTGTTTGCTTTAGCGGGCCTCCTAAATCTGCTTTTCTGCCATTTATTTGTTGTAGGCTGTTTTAACTGTGTTTTAATGTTTTAATGAGTTTAAATGTTTAGTTTATGTTGGAAGTCAAATGTGAGATTTGGAGTGACAGTATTATAAAGTGTTCAGTCATGTGAGCGACGTGTTTCAGTGTTTTCGAAAGCTTTACTCTATTGACTCCTGCTGGCTGAAACTGTAAATACAACTGAAAACCTTCATTACAACAGTTTAAGTGTAATCGACGAAATATAAATAGAAATCAACTAATATTACACATTATGAGTGTTTATATCCTATTTTATTAAAGCTTCTCTGTGAGTTTCAGCTCAGACTGTGTGAATATGAGAATAAATATGAGCGTATTGATTTTATATGACAAAGTGAATTTGCCCAAAACAGTCACCTGTTAAAAAGTGTTTTTCTGTTTTAGTTTATTTGTTATAATATAATTTTATTAGTGAAGTAATTCATCAGTTTTTCTATAAAATACTGTATTTCTCTTTTCTCTCGTGTCACATTCATACTGACAGCAAAAGCCATGAAATACATCGGCATAAACCACTCTTAAGTAAAAGTTAAATAAACAATCCTGTTAAATATAAGTACAGCAGTGCGTAAGAATTATAGTTTCAGTATAAATCAAAAACTTGGATTTTTAATACAAAATTAATTCCATAAGCTATAAACAAATAGATGATGATTTACCTGTACTCATCATAGTCGCTAAATACGTTAGTGAGAACTGCTAACTTACACAGGGGAGAAACGCAAATTGAAATTTGTGCAAACAGGTTATTTACATTTTAACAATTTTAAATAAACAGTATGACGTATTAATATAATTAATTATAAAACACATACAATGCTGATAACGTAAAATTATAAATTAAAGCAAATCCAAAAGCGGTTTTGCTCTAAAGTCCTCCCCCTTTACTTAGCTTTGAGTTGGTATCGACCGAGTGGTATAAATAGCCACCGCGTGCGTCTATCAAACTTTTTGCCAGTTTAGACCGAGACTGTGGAGATGCTGTTTATTCCCGCTTTCGTCAAACAGACGAGGAAAAAGAAACCGTACAGCATAGAAGTAAGCGTACTCTCCAAATTGACCAGCTATGTACAAATGTAAATAAAGTGTTATTTCAAACAAGAGTTGTGTGGTATTTTATTACTTACGACAAAACTTTAACGTGTTAAGATCACACTAACAAACATCGTGTGAATTAGGCAAGTTAAACACGCTTCAAATCAGTCACTATAAAACAAACGTGTTTAATGAATTATCTAGACTCATTTGTGATGTGCGTGTTAGCATTTTATTTCGGTTTTAGGTTTTAGGTTTGCTTTGCATTTAATGAGAATAATGAATAAACTATTACCAATTAATCAATGATTTTGTCTAATTTGGAGGTTTTGTTGCAAGTTTTTAAGTTATAAACCGGATAAAGTACATCAGGTATTGAGGTAAAGTTGGTTTCACCTTAATATAATCTCAGATTTGTAAACTCTAAATAGTGAAATCATATAATCAATGACTATCAAAGTACAACATGGTTCACTGTTAAATAAATATTGCTAATGTTGTTTTGAAGTCATCCTTGCCTAAGATTTCATACCGAATATTTAAAGTAGCAGTAAACAATATAGAAACTGTCACAAGTTGGCCCTGAATGAATGTGCGAATATAAAACCAACTTTAGCTCAATTCAGAATCGAGAGTTCCAGAGAGCTGTGTAATATAATTAAACTAAAAACACTAATAAAACAGGAGAGACTGGTGCTGAAGCCCTTGAGCAGGTTAAATGAAGATAACCACATCTGCAAAAATGTAATCAAAGTTGCTTCTGTGGTAATTTGACATAATTAAAATTGATGTATTATAATTGTTCACAACATGGGTCCACAAAACCTGTCGTAATGGTAAATGTTTTGAAACTGAATTCTACATCATCTATAAGCTGAAAAAATTAACTTTCCATTGATGTGTGTTTTTTTTAGATTGACAATATTTGTCTGAGGTGCAACTATTTAATCATCTACACTTTAATAGTTTCAAAAACTCTTAATATTTGAGAAAATAAGCTCTATATTAGATTAAATTAGGGTTTAAGCACTAATATAAATCTTTGGCTGTATTTACAGTAAATTCATGACCAGAAATCTGTTGTAAAATATGCAGTGTTCAACATAATATATTCACTCTGTCTCAACACAAATCCATTAAGTTACCATAGCTAATATAAGTAGACTGAACAAAACAAGTTTCCCCCAAAATCTCCACAATTGTGTTTCAGCTCAGTTTAAAAAAAAAGTAGCAAAAGATTTAGAGACTAGATCTACTATTAAATTACTGTAGTAATAATAGTAATATTAAATTGACCCATTATAGGTGCTCGGTGCTCCTCATCTGGTGCGTTTCTGTCTGGATGGTGGTGAGTGTTGTTTCCCCACACCATATGGGACTGACCCGTGTCGTCAGGTGGGGCGACGCTCGCTCACTCGCCCTCGCTCAGCTCAGTCACTCTGACCATGGCGAATCCCTGCCCGAGGTTCTCTCACTCTTCAGTGAAGTTCAGTGGTGAATGCTTCAATTGGTGGGTGACGGTGGGCTGGGGTCCAGATCAGCTGCTCACGGGTGTTGTGCTGAGAGACAGTTTACCTCACTTACTGTGGTACATCACAAATACAGCCAGAAAATAAGCTGCAACCTAACCTAAGATGAAGAATTATCACCTAATAAGAAGAGGAAAACAAGGGAAAACAAAGTAGTAAACAGTTTATTATGACACTTCAGTGTTTATGTCCACATTATATAAACTGATGTGCTAAAAATGTAGACAAATTATATTTAATATAGTGTCATTTTGTTACTATACTGGCAAACAGATGAACCTGTTCACATGATGACTGTTTATTATATGACACAGTGATTTATCACTTCACAAACTACTGCTAAACAATTAAATATTAGCAAATAAAGAAACCTGAGATGAAGAAATGGCACCTAGGATGATTATAATGAAATGAAGAGACCAGAAAAAAGTACATCAAAGTAATAAATGTGTTAATTCTTTTCTTTTTATTATTTATTATTCATATTTATTCTTTAATTAGTAATCTTAAATTGATGTGTTAAAACTGTACATAATTATAAAACGTAATATAGTGACATTCTGTATTTCACCGCATGGCTGTCTGGAATACTCTATTCTGATTGGTCGGTCGCTGTATTCTGATACGTTATTTCCGGTTAAATGGGCAACATGCAAACTCTATCATCGTTTACTCACCCTTTACTTGTTTACAAGGGAAGATATTTTAATAAATGTTGATAAAATGATATTTTAATAAAATTAATTTTTCCTGCTGAAGTTATTCAGATTTTCAGTTTTCTTCAAAATATCTTCACTTGTGTTCAACAGAAGACAGAAACTCATAAAGGGTTTTAAGCTCTTGTGAACGAGTCAATAGTGAGTAAATTTTCCTTTTAGAGTGAACTGTCCCTTTAAGAACCGCTGAACCTATAACAGCTCCTCTGGGTTGGTACTTCATGTCATCTTTGACCATCAAAACATAAATTTCCTTCAGTTGTCTTGATATAATATTAGTATAGTTTGAATTATATTAGAAGATATTCGATATATTAGAATGTTGAGGAGTGATAAAGCGGATTCTGTATATTAATGTGGATTCAGCTATAAATGTATCTGCCGGATTAATACTTCAAGCAATGAGATTATTGTGTGTTAATCAGATATAGATGTTGGTACAATCAGAAAATAAGGTCCAACACTGAACCTTTTAGGGCACAAGTGGCCGTCACTGGGGTTGTATGAATGAATGAATGAATTTATAAATTTATTTATTTAACAGGGACAATGCACAAAAATTACATTAACCAGGAGGAAAGATGCATTGTGCCAGGTTGTAGCAGGATTGCTAATTTCCACCTGCAGTCTCTGGACAGGTTAAAATTAAAACAATAAAATCCAATTAGTTAAAAAGTCTATAATCACATTTAAACTAAAACACTGACAAAACATCTCACTCAGTGTGTACAAATTTAAGGGTGCAATTTTGGACCTCTATCATGCATTCACAATGGTATGAGCCGTTATGGGGGTCAAATCTGTAGTCATATGATCTGTTATTTGAGTTATTAATATTATTATTTAAGATACAGATCAGTGAAAGTGTTTCTCCCTATTTAAATGGCTGAGCACACACATCTTGTGTTGACGTGGCTCTGGGGGATCAAGCATTATAATTAAGGCGGTCAAACCCCCTGTAATTTGTGTGTCGTTCATTCAGAGTCTTTCACTAAAGCTTCAGCTGCTTCTCCTGGTTGTAATAGTGGAGAAGAGCTGCATTGAGCAGGAAATGAAGTCAAATGAAGCTCTTGGGGTTTGATCTGCTCACTGGAGACGGAGCTGCACTGATCTGAGACCAGCAGAATCACTGAAGCTCACAATGCAAAGCAGATTTACACACCAAACTCACACTTTCACTTCTGCTCATGACAGATCTGATCAGTCTCGGTGACTCTGACTGACTGACGGAGGTTTTTGTATCACTCTTTATCACTGTGTGAGCACACCACCACTGTGGTAACTCTGACAGTAATAATGTCCAGCATCTTCAGTCTGGACTCCACTGATGCTCAGAGTGAAATCAACATTAGATCCACTGCCACTGAATCTAGATGCAGTTCCTGAATAACGGTAGCTTGTTACATAAATCAGGAGTTTAGGATCTTCTCCAGGTTTCTGTAAGTACCAGGACACACAGGGCTTTGGGCTGCAGGGTGCAGGTTGACTGAGTTTGCAGCTCATCTGAACATTTTCTCCAGGTTTAACAGGTTCCACTGGAATTTGAGTCACTGTGATCTGAGCTGCACATCCTGAGAAACAAATCATTCACACTGTTAGTCTACAAAGATCATCATTTATTAGTCAATATTTAAGCTTGTTCAAACTACACTACAGGTATAATATATTCACATATAAACTGTTCACCTCGCAGTGTGAAGCTGTATGACAGAGTCCAGATGAAGATGATGATGAAGGTCATGATGATGAAGATTGATGTGTGTGTCAGTGATGAAGTGTTCAACTCACAGCACTATAAACACTCACAGCACTCAATATGCAAACACACACACACACACACACACACACACTGTAATAAATGATATCAGCTCATCAGTAGTGAATACTGTGGATTTCCTAGATAAACTCTGAAAGTGTGTGAATTTAAAATCTCTGCTGTGTGTGTGTGTGTGTGTGTGTGTGTGTGTGTGTGTGTGTGTGTGTGTGTGTGTGTGTGTGTGTGTGTGTGTGTGTGTGTGTGTGTGTGTGTGTGTGTGTGTGTGTGTGTGTGCTTTACTCACATTTACTGCACTTCAGCACACACACTGGCTGTCTTTCAGTCTTTCTGTGTGCTCTGCTCTGCTTTCTGTCTTTCACACCAGACTAAATGTGTGTGTGTTACTGACATTCATCATTTAATAAAACCCAACTGTATCTTGAAATGTCTTTGAGTGTCTCTTGTGTCGTTTCTGCTCTTTCAGTGGGTTTTATGAATACTCTTCAGTCAGTGGAGCATGAAAACACCTGCAGATTCAGGAGGAAACACTCATGTAGATATTGTGTATTTTCAAATATATTTAATATAATTAATAAAAGAGTAACGTTGAGTATGGACTGAATAATTACTGTGGAGATCAAAGTTTATTAATGTCTTCAAAATGTCTTCGTTTGTGTTGAACAGCAGAAGGAAAGTAAAAGGTGTCTTTAGGTGAACTCTCCTGTATTCTGTGTGTCGTGAATGTCTGAGTGTTTTGTATCATTTGTGTTTGGGCTCTTTCATTAGATCAGGGCTTCAGCTCATATTTGATCAATAATCTTCAGTCAGTGGAGCATGAAAACACCTGCAGATTCAGGAGGAACAGAAACATGCGCTGCACTTATCAACATCTCTCACACACTGTAGAGGAGCAGAAAGACTGTTTCAGGTTATTTAGTACAGGGAAAACATAATGATTTATTTTGCATGTTTTCATGAGTAAATCAAGTAATAATGTAATGCAGTTCAGCTTCCTAATGCTGAAACTGACACTGAAATCCTACTTACATGTCTTCATGTGTTTATATAAAGATAAGGATTTATTTTTATGACAAACTAAGCATATTTTTGTTTTCCCTGTATTTAGTTTACAAGGTTTTCCTTTACTGGACCTTTTATTAATTCAGAGTTCAAACTCATTATAAATAGTCTATTATAGCTGATTTGAGTTGTAACTCAGTGTGTTGATCTGTGTGTAGTGTGTGTGTTTGTCCTCTGTGTGTCAGTAGTGTTCAGTGTTTGAGCTGCTCCAGGATCAGTTCAGTCTCTGTGACTCTGACTGACTGACGGAGGTTTTTGTATCACTCTTTATCACTGTGTGAACACATATTTACTGTTGATCCAGTGTCTACTCTGACAGTAATAATGTCCAGCATCTTCAGTCTGGACTCCACTGATGCTCAGAGTGAAATCAACATTAGATCCACTGCCACTGAATCTAGATGCAGTTCCTGACTGACGGCTGCTTGTTCTGTAAATCAGGAGTTTAGGAGCTTCTCCAGGTTTCTGTAAGTACCAGGACACACAGGGTGGGTAACAGCCTGTCTCACTACTACTGAGTTTGCAGCTCATCTGAACATTTTCTCCAGGTTTAACTGTTTCCACTGGACTTTGAGTCACTGTGATCTGAGCTGCACATCCTGAGAAACAAATCATTCACACTGTTAGTCTACAATAATAATCATTTTCAGCCAATTTTTAAGTTTGTTCAAATGATACTGATATATTCAAAATAAACTATTCACCTTGCAGTGTGAAGCTGTATGAAAGAGTCCAGATGAAGATGATGATGAAGGTCATGATGATGAAGATTAATGTGTGTGTCAGTGATGAAGTGTTCAACTCACAGCACTATAAACACTCACAGCACTCAATATGCAAACACACACACACACACACACACACACACACACACACACACACACACACACACACACACACTAATGATCTGCTTGTGAAGTGTAATATCTCTGCGCTCAGCTAATAGAGTTGAACTGTGATGTGTTGTAATGGTGAACACAGCTGCTCTCAGCTTTAATGTGTAATGAAGCTCTTGTGGTTTGATCTGCTCTATTCTGAGCTGCAGAAACTCTGAACACTGTTTGATTGGTTTAACTCTCTGAACTGGAACAGATTCACTTTCACTTCTGCTCAGCAGCTCATCAGACTCTTAACAAGACTGACTGAGAGTTTTACAACACTTTACAGCTTATAAATGTAATATTAATGAAATAAAACTGAAGATGGAGTTTGTGTATTATTAGTTAGATGTTGAGGATTTTACCCTCAGTAATTATGATTAATTATAATCTTAACAGATGATTTATGATGAAGAATAATTTACTCAAGCTGAATCATTTCTATGATCATCTTTACAGTATAATTATAAAGAAGAATAACAGCAGGGACTGTACAAATATGTGATTGAAAATATTGAGAGAGGAGATGAGAGAATATCAGCGGAAACATGAAAATAACATCTAATTATCCTCAAAATACTGATAAAGCTCAAACAAACTTTATATTAAAATCATATTGTGTTGTGTCAAGGCCATCGTGTGTGTTCAGTGTTTGAGCTGCTCCAGGATCAGTTCAGTCTCTGTGACTCTGACTGACTGACGGAGGTTTTTGTACCACTCTTTATCACTGTGTGAACACAACATCACCCACACACTTATTGTTCGAATCTGTTCTGCAGTGGAAACTCTGACAGTAATAATGTCCAGCATCTTCAGTCTGGACTCCACTGATGCTCAGAGTGAAATCACTGTTTGATCCACTGCCACTGAATCTAGATGCAATTCCTGACTCAAGATGATTGACCCAATAAATCAGGAGTTTAGGAGCTTCTCCAGGTTTCTGGAAATACCAGGCTAAAGTTTGGTCTCCATCATAATATCTGTACACATCTGTGCTGGTTCTGCAGGTGATTGTGATGGTTTTGTCTGGTTCTGCTGTCATTGAGGGACTCTGAGTGACGCTGATCTGTCCTCCACACTCTGAAACAAAACAAGAAGAAAGTCAGCAGAAGTCCTGAATGTCTGAGCTGTGAAATGCAGTGAAAGTGAGTCTGACCGTGGAGGAGCAGCAGCAGAGAGCAGATGATCAGAGCGAGCGTCTTCATCTTCACTGAAGCTCAGAGAACTGAAGGACAGAGATGCTGATTCACAGTCAGACTGATATTGAGCTCCAGTCTCAGGGGCAGGACACACATTCAAAACCTCCAGCTCACACTGAGCACAAAGCAGCGAGATCAGCATCAAAACACTTCATCTGTTCAAATATTCACATTAAAACACAAACATGATCACAAAGCAAGAGTGGAGATTTACTGTTGATGTTGGTGGACCTGATTTAAATCTCCTTTTCTTCATAATCACTGTGGAGGCAATCGAAAAATCTGAAATAAATGTTGAATATTTGCACAGACACATGAGCGTAAATCTTATTTAACAGTAGGGGGGGACAATAAATATAAAATTTCTTTCCAGCATTTTTTTCAAGGGGACACAAATAATACAGCCAAATTGTACTAATAAAGATATGTTCCTGCGGTTAAAAATGTTTTTTTATCATTATTATTATTATAGCATGGAGACTACGTCATTATGATTATTTTCAACGTTTTTTTCAGGTTTAATGACAAAGCAAATTTTTCTTCAAAACTATTTATTGCATTGTTTGTTGTGTTGTTTACAGTCAACAGACTGACTCCTGAAGCAGAATAAATGCAGGAAAAGACATTTTCCATACTCATAATAACTAACTTGTTTACATTACACTTGGTAAAACGACCGATCATATTGTAAATCAGTGAGCCTGTGAAATCTGCTAAACAGCCACAACTCCGAAAACATTTTTAAAAATTGTTCATCCCAAAATAATTGTCATTATCCCTTCAATAAAGCACAACACCCCTTACCTGACACTACATCTGACTAACCCTGCTCTGCCTGTTCCTCAGTCATTTCTTTCTCCTTTGCCTGTGATTAATATTGTGGCATTAGTATTTTCATAAGCACTCATTCCTAAAGCCAAATTGCCTTAATATGTCAACTTTTTGTACTTGGCGTTTAGCTGAACTGAAAAATGATCTTATGTCTATTTTCTCTGTCAATTTTTTTAATTTATTTAATTTATTTATTTGGCAATGCATGACACTGGAATGCAAGTTTATTTATACTGTAGCATATTTTATACACAATGGTAATTCAAAGTGCTTTACATAAAGAATGCAAAACTATCATAAAAATAATCACAATAAAAACAAGGAATTAAAAAAGGTTACCATTTTAACTTCATATTAATTGAGTCACTTAAAACAGAATAGAAACTTATTATACAAAAATACAGTGGGGTTAGTGTGCTCAGTGTAGCACAGTGCTCATTTAGCAAATACACAGCTAAACAATATGCTAATTGTGGTCGTTAATGTTAAGTTAACATTATGCCAAGTCGTCACAAATTAAACAATGCATGAGAAACGGCTTTAGCGTTAGCAACAAGCTAACGTTAACTAGATACGTAATTTTAATCACTAATACAGCAGATTGGGATGGGAGGATTTACGCCCCTGTACAGCCATGGAGACTATTATGCTGGACGTGTAGTGAACTTGACTTTAAGTGATTTACACGTGTCTGTGAAATGTAGGTCATTATGTCCTCGTCTCCATTGAGTCTTGAACAGTAAAGTCTGACTGGTAAATGTCTGTGCAGTTTTGGCTCTTTCTCTACATTTACATTCACATTATTGACAGCATTAGTTTATTGTGGAGGTGATTAAATTATTGATGGGGTCATTTCAGTAATCAGTGGATATTGGTCTGGACACGTCTCCTCCATCCATGCTCATTCTACATTCTTGTCCCAAAGAGTTTCCCTGATTTCAGGAGTGTGTAGATGTTCATCAGGTGTTTCAGAGTTTGGGTTTGGGCTTCAGTTGCACATCATTTATACACATTTTCCCTTGTTGATCTGCAAGTGATGCTTCAATTTAATAATGAGAAATAAATTAAGAATAAAATGAAGAAGATTAATGTGCTGTGTGAACGTGTGTGTGTGTGTGTAAAGATGTGTGTGTTGTGAGCCTCAGTTCAGTCAGTGAAGCGTTCAGAGGTTTTTGTTCAGCCGCTCTATTAGTTTGTATCACTGTGGTACACTTTCGGCAGCGACACCAAACTGGATGTTGGCAGTAAGTAAATAAACATATTATTAATGATACAACAGAGGATTGTTAAATAACTTCTAGTAATTTATAGACAGAAAGCTCTTTTCCATTTGATCATGTTTTGTAATATTATGTTCTGTGCAGTGAGTAAACAGTGAGTGTTTGTCAGTCGACGCTGTACAGAGGATTTTCTTTGTTGCAGGATCTTTTATTTTCAAAGTAAATTAAATAATTTCTTACTTTATGAGTTTTTATTTACAAATAAATAGTGGCAATTACATTAAATGACTCATTAAATTCTGCTATTTTAGCAGCACTTCAAAATTTAAGAGCAACTAAAATAAATTTACATCATTTCAATTTTGGTGTTGATTAAAAAATTACAAGCACAAATCTTCATATTTTTGATCACTTTAGATTAAAGAACTTCGTTGTTTTTAAACATGAATCCATTATTTTTTTCATAATTATCAAGATATGAAGCTTAAAATGATAGTGGATAAGTGTGTATAATCATATCTGACAGATGTTTTAAAGCAAATTGAGTTACAGTGAAGATGATCCTGAAAATGACACAGAATCATGATCGTCTCTTCAGTGTAACTCTCAGTGCTTTGCTGATCAGACTCTGCATGAGTTGTGTTTCTGACTTTCAGATTCAGCTTTTAAAGTTTAATCAGACGACAAATATCCTGAAAATACTCAATGCGCTCTGTCTTTACTCTGTTAACACATGTACTTTGAGAGTTTTTGGTTTAGTCAAACTGGATATTGCGAATGCTGAAAGTTTTAAAGATGTTAAATTGATATGTTTGTGTTTCTGAAAGTTATTCTGGACTGAGGTTTTGTTGTTATTTAAAACCAAATAGTTTTATTGAGTTTATTTTGTTCATTAATCAGCATATTTACTCTGAACATGTTCTCTTCTCACAGTAATTATGAATATGATTGTGTAAATGGAGTAAAACTTTATCTTGTGACTGCTGAGTGTCTTGAAGACGCTGAAGATGCTCTAAATGTCTGTTTAGACTGAACGTGACACTTTACTGAGCTCTGTTCAGTGTTTTAACCATAATAATATTGATTTTAAATTTAATATATATTAATATACAGAGTGAACTTTATTCTGAACCTGTTATTAATCATTGTTCAGTGAGTAATGCTTGTTTTGAGTGAGTAATGAGTGAGTGAGTGTCTCCTGGTCACTGCTGTGTTTGTCTGCTCTTCTCTCCTCAGCCGTCTCTCCTCCTCAAGTGAGCGTCCTGTCGCCCTCCAGTGCAGAGATCTCCTCCAAGCGGGCGGCTACACTGCTGTGTGTGGCCAACAAGGGCTTCCCGTCAGACTGGAGGCTGGTCTGGAAGGTCCTCAAGCCTGACGGGAGCAGCAGCAGCGGGGGTCAGGAGAGCAGCAGTGCTGGGCTCCTGGAGAAGGACGGTCTGTACAGCTGGAGCAGCAGCCTGACTCTCACTGAGCAGCAGTGGATGGAGAGCGTCTCAGTGAGCTGTGAGGCCACACGGAGCGGCCAGCCTGCGCTCACTGCAGGAGACACTGTGACGAGACAGCAGTGTTCAGAGTAGATCTGCAGCACACACACACTCCTGCTACTCACATTTACTGCATTCAGCACACACACTGTCTGTCTTTCAGTCTCTCTGTGTGCTCTGCTCTGCTTTCTGTCTTTCACACCAGATTAAATGTGTGCAGTTTATTATTCTGTCATCGTTTTACTGTAATTCAGTCAATAAATAAAGCTGTAAGTGTCTGTCTTTGAGTCTCGTGTGTGGACTTTATTTCAGGACAGTAACAGTGTGTGTTTCTGTGTCAGTTTAGTTTCTGCTTCATATTTGATCAATAATCTTCAGTCAGTGGAGCATGAAAACACCTGCAGAATCAGGAGGAACAGAAACATGCGCTGCACTTATCAACATCTCTCACACACTGAATCAGAATATGATAGAGAGATTTGGGTTATTTAATACATGAAGAACATAATGAATTAATTGTTTCAGTAAGTGTCTATGGTAATGATTTATTCTGGATGTTTTCATGTGTAAGGCAAATAAACATTTAATGAAGTTCAGCTTCTTAGTCCTGTGCTGAATCTGACACTGAAATACTACTGTACTTACATTAACTTTATATGTGTTTATTTTTAGTTTTTGTAAATTAATTTAATGTTTTATTTTATAATGCTTTGAATAAATGTTTGTTTTGATATTTTTCCAGTTTTTAATTTACTAATTCAGAGTTGAACTCATTACAGATCACAGTTTATTAGAGCTGATTTAAGTCAGAACTCACTGTGTTGATCTGTGTGTAGTGTGTGTGTTTGTCCTCTGTGTGTCAGTAGAGTGTTCAGTGTTTGAGCTGCTCCAGGATCAGTTCAGTCTCTGTGACTCTGACTGACTGACGGAAGGTTTTTGTATCACTCTTTATCACTGTGTGAACACACCACCACTGTGGTAACTCTGACAGTAATAATGTCCAGCATCTTCAGTCTGGACTGCACTGATGCTCAGAGTGAAATCACTGTTAGATCCACTGCCACTGAATCTAGATGCAGTTCCTGGCTGGAGGCTGCTTGTTGAATGAATCAGGAGTTTAGGAGCTTCTCCGGGTTTTTGTAAATACCAGCTAACACACTGTTTACTATTACACCAGTTGACTGGATCACTGCTGGTCCTGCAGTGGACAGTGAGAGATCGTCCAGGTTCAGAGAGCAGCACTGAGGGAGTTTGAGTCACTGTCACCTGACCAATACATTCTGCCAGAGGAGAAACATTAGAAATCATTTGTATAATCATATATAAGATCACAACACAGAAACACAAGTCAATAACACACATAATCTTGAGGGACACACACCTCCACATAATGCTGCCAGTGTCCAGATCAATATGCTGCTGAAGGTCATTGTTGTTCTTGTAGGTTCAGTTGTAGTGAAAACAGTTGTTGATCAAGTTTTCTGTTTGTCAGAGTTATAAACACATGCAGAGCACTGAAGCGTGTGGCGCTCATGTAAAACTCCACATGCAAACACTGATGGAGATTGTGGTGTGAATTAGTTTAATGTGCTGTTTCATTATAATATCAATGTCACATGAGCAAGTTCATTTTTATTTATTATAAGAGGAACAACATGATGAAAAGTTTTAGACTGATTCAATAAACCACTTTAATGAGCAAGATGTTGTAGATGTTTTAAATAATTTGCATTTTAATCAATCATGCTGTCTGTTTACTCAATCATTTTAATACTTTTAATAAGCAGGAGAATATTCTGCTGCATGACTCTGAACAACACAATGAATCAATGATTCTGAAGAGTCAAAGGAGTGAATGATTCAGTGAATCACTCAAACGGTTATTGGGAGCTTCTCAACAGTGCAGAATTACTATTGTATTTATTTTGAAGAATACTCTAAATAAACTATCTTAATAATTTATTAATCTACTGGTGTTTCTTGTGTTAGGAGTCTGTGTGAAATCTCTGGACACGCTCAACTCAACTTCTGTATTTGGTTCAGGATGTTTGTGTTCAGTCTCTGTGACTCTGAATGACTGATGGAGGTTTTTGTACCACTCTTTATCACTGTGTCAACACCCAGTTACTGTTGATCCAGTGCATACTCATACAGTAATAATGTCCAGCATCTTCAGTCTGGACTCCACTGATGGTCAGAGTGAAATCACTGCCATAATCTGCTCCACTGCCACTGAATCTGGCTGGTATTCCTGACTGGAGACGGTTAATATAATAAATGAGGAGTTTAGGAGCTTCTCCAGGTTTCTGCAGATACCAGGAGAGACAGTCTCTACATCCCTGTGACCGATCTCCAATTCCTCTGCTAGTCTGACAGTTTATAGTCACAGTTTGTCCTGCTGGAGCTGCTGCTGAAGGAGTTTGAGTCACTGAAAGCTGTCCTGACATTTCTGTGAAGGACATTTGAGAAGAACATTAATTCAGCTCATATTAATCAACACTTAATATAGTTGAAGTGTCCGTAACAAAAACAGCTTTACTGTCAAACATCTGCATTTAAACCTCATTTAGAGTCAATAACAGAGTAAATGAACCTTGAACAGAAAGAGCGAGTGTCCAGAAACAGACGCTGATGATCTTCATCTTCTTCTTCTTCTGGTTTATTTTCAGTCTGAATGCAGAAAAGCTCTGAGTGATGAAGTGTTCAACTCACAGCACTATAAACACTCTGAAGCTGATCAGCAATATGCAAACACACACACACACACACACACACACACACACACACACACACACACACACACACACACACACACACACTCACACACACACACACACACACACATGATCATCTACATCAGGACAGCAGATGCGTTGGTTGTGGTTTTGTTCAGCAGCTTTACTAATAAGCTGATTCTGAACTGTTGTAATATCTCTGAGCTCCACTAAATCAGTGTAATGGAGTGATTATATATTCAGAGAGAGATATATTCACAGATATATTCAGAGATATATTCAGTGTGTCGATGGTTGTGATGTTTGTAATAGTTGAGAGCAGTAAATGTGGTTTGATCTGCTCTATTCTGAGCTGCAGAGACTCTGAACACTGTTTGATTGGTTAAACTCTCTGAACTGGAACAGATTCACTTTCACTTCTGCTCAGCAGCTCATCAGACTCTTTTCAAGATCATCTGAACATTTTATAAGACTCACACAGTTTCTTAAACAATTAATTGTAGATAGATTTAGATAAATAATAGATGGATCTGATTCAATTCCCTCTTCAAAGGTTTTTACTATTTTCAGAATTATTTGATCTATGAGATTTATGGTGATTATGATTTATGAACTGATTTAGTATTTTTTAAATGCATTCATGGAAATATTTAAGTGCTTCTCAAAAGTTTCCAAGGTAAACAAATGATAAACTTTAGATTGTTTCTTGTGACATGAAGGATTAAAATATTTACATTATTAAATGAATTCAGTTTCCTCAATGTCTCAAATACAAATGAAAAACAACAATTTCCTGATACTCCTAATGACAAAAGATTCCAATAAAACAACATTTATTTATTCATTTAGAAACAGCAGGAGTTTCCACACAGTAATGGTGTTTTACTCCAGCAGTAGTGGACGTGTCATGAGCTGCAGCTTTCTGAATGTTTTACTCTGGTCTGCTGGAGACTGCAGTGCTGTTTGAGGCGTCGTGAGTTTATTTGATCATCAGCAGCTCTTGAGGAAAACTGTCAATCGATTCACCGTCAGACTGAACAGACTCAGTGATGCTGAAGACAGACAGTATACAATACATCTGTCATCATCAGTGGGGTTTTGGCCTCAGTAATTAAGGCTAAATTAAATGATCTTAATAGATGATTTGTGACGATGATTAAACAATTCAAGCAACATCTTTATGATTTTTACACTATTATTAGAAAAAAATACATCATCATGCACTTTATAAATGTGGTTAAAAATATGAATTAATAAATAATATTCAGTAGATGATAATAAATATTGTAAACAATTACTTAATTGAATTTTTTAAATTTAATAAATATCTTTTAAAATTATCTATAAAAAATGCAGATGAAGTTTAACCTAAATCTATATTAAAGTCAGATTGAGTTCAGTGTTTAATTTGTGTTCAGTGTTTGAGCTGCTCCAGGATCAGTTCAGTCTCTGTGACTCTGACTGACTGACGGAGGTTTTTGTATCACT